GTAACCAAGAGGGGTAAAGGCATTCAACGGGAAAGGGTAAAATCTACAGATGTGCCCCACCCCAATGAACCACCCAAGGTGAGAGAACTCAATATTCTCAGCACTATTTATAGAAAAATGGGAGTGAAAGGGTAGGGACGTTATCAGCAGATAGATGAAAATTCAAAGATTTGCAAAGTTATGAAGAACAACTTTTAATATCTCAAACGCTCATTGGTGAGTGAGCTTAGTGGACAAGGAATTATGATGGGGTTATGGAGAACAGGAAGTGTGGAAAAAGAGAACATAGAATTTTAAGATTGGGAAGGATCTTGGAGGTCTTCTAGTCCAATTCCCCTGCTCAAGGCAGGAGGCCCTATACCATGTCAGTCAGATGGTTGTCCAGTCTAGTTTTGAAAATGTTGTGACGGAGCAATCACAACTCCAGGAGGCTAGCCATTCCACTGATTGTTCTCACCGTCAGGAAATTTCTCCTTACTTCTAAGCTGGATCTCTTCTGAATAAGCTTCCACCCATTACTTTTCGTCCTGACCCCTGGTGCTTTGGAGAATAAGTTAGTCTCCTTTTCTCCGTGACAGCCGGAAGACATTTATCATAAAAGAGGTCTAAGTTACAACCTATTTGAAAAGAGGAACTGGACCACACCATGCTGCCATGTTTTGTGGCAAATCCCACTTATAGAGCAGATCCCACGAGATAAAGAAACAAAACTTACAGAAAACGTTAATTCATCCCTCAAAGAAACTTTTCTTTCTAAAAGTTCCAAAGGAATAGCAGTAAAGGCCAGCCAAGCCAATCTCACACCACCCTTCCCCACACTGCTATTACTGACCATTTTAATTACTGTATGTGCAATGACACTGAAAAGTTAGGAAAGCAAAAAGCACTGGAATCAAAGGAGAGTCAGATATGGTTCGTAACTAATTGAGGAACCATCTGGTATATCCAAGACTGCAGGATAGAATATCCTGGAAGAATATCCTGGAAGAATATCCCAGAAGAAGACATCAACAAATTACTTCTGTATCACATCAAGGAAACTGCATGGATGTATCCATGAAAGACACCAGTAGCCGAGCCAGCCTGAAGGCAATTTTACTTCAATTTTCAGGGGTCTTTGTAAAGTACTTTAGCATGAAAAAGACTGATTTAATAACCAACTAAGGGTATTAACCATTATTTAATTCTACTGAAGCCAGAGATGCATTTCCTTCTTGTCATTAAGGCAGCGGCCCAGAATGAAAAGTGTGATGGAGGAGAAAGGTATGATCGATGCTTTGGAGAAATATGAACGTTTCAAAGCTCCCATCACTCCCCTGCCCCTTCAAAGAGGACTCAGTTCTATTCTATTCTATTCTATTCTATTCTATTCTATTCTATTCTATTCTATTCTATTCTATTCTATTCTTCATTCCTCTCTTCTCTTCTCTTCTATAATCTGTCTTGTCTATTCTATTCTATTCTATTCTACAATCTATTCTATTCTATTCTATTCTATTCTATTCTATTCTTCATTCCTCTCTTCTCTTCTCTTCTCTTCTCTTCTACAATCTTTCTATTCTATTCTATTCTATTCTATTCTTCATTCCTCTCTTCTCTTCTCTTCTCTTCTACAATCTTTCTATTCTATTCTATTCTATTCTATTCTATTCTATTCTATTCTACAATCTATTCTATTCTATTCTATTCTATTCTATTCTATTCTATTCTATTCTATTCTTCATTCCTCTCTTCTCTTCTCTTCTCTTCTCTTCTACAATCTTTCTATTCTATTCTATTCTATTCTATTCTATTCACTAAGCCCCTCTAAATTTAACATTTGGCAATCAACCAGAATTGGCTAGGTCCTGCCAACTGTGATTCTCCAGAACTAAATATCCCTGAATATTTTTCTTTTTAAGTGTGTGTTAAGATTGCTCAGGAAAGGCACTTTGCGATGCACAGCATGTCGTTTTACACGATGCAAAGTTTTATTTAAAAAAAAAAGTACTTTAATTGCAGATAACCAATTAGAGAGTAATCTCTTTTTTTTTGCGTTTTAATAAAAGGAGGGGAAAACTCAAATCATTATCTTGCTTTAAATTCTGTGTAGGACCGTTCCAGAGTAAATGTTTGACAGTACATCAAGAGAGAAGTTTTAGACATTGATCCTAAATAAAAGAATGTGGGTGTTGCACAAGCTTTTTTAGCCTGTGAAATTCAGAAAGATTGTGCTGTTTTATGCGTATTTACTCACATGTACGTTCCAATGACTTTAAAGAAGCTTTCTCTCAAATAAAACTGCAGCCTCAATAAAGTAGCCTGATCTAAGGAACACAGCTATATATTTTTTTAAAACATTGTTATGGCAACTAGCTATTATTCAAGATTTCTTCCCTTACAATAACCATCTTTAACACTGAGGTCATTATGTAAAAAAAATCAGCCTTTCCTGACTCAGGCAATGAATTTTAAGATAATTTACCAAACCACTAATTATTATATTTTCCCAGGTTAATCAGTCACTACAAAGCACCATCTTCATTAAATACATTAAACACACACACACACACACTGCCACTCTTACTGAATTGCTGTAACATTTATGTTAATTTGCCAAATAACTGATTAATTGGCTAAAAGGCGGGCAATTAATTTACCATAAAATGGATTAATCAGTTAGCAGTCTTTATAAATACAAGCTTGGAGAACTCTTAAATGGATAAGTGGTGCCTAATCCTGGATTCCAACCATACAAGATTATAAGATAAGGCTGTATAATAGGAACAGGTTTTTGAATGACGTTGAATTGCATCAAATTATCATGGCTGGTCACAAAATCAGGCAGACGTTTAGACCGGATTTGGCATTTTCATCCACCTATCGAGTCCTTTCCAAGGTCCTGGGACAGGCAGATATTGAGGATGGAGCTTTGTCTCCGAGCTTGTGGGTTGGTTTCCAAAAGTTTCGTTACCAGGCTAAGTTACACCTTCAGCAGAATTTAGAGGATGTCAGTGTGGTGTTTTTCTGTTTATAAGGGCTTTGTGTGGTCAGTAGATCACATGAGGTGATGGTCACATCAGGTGAGGTCTTGTGATGGGTCAGGTATGGGTAACATCAAGTGAGGATCTTATGATGAGTCAGATGTAGGTCACATCAAGTGAGGGTCTTGTGATGGGGCAAGTGTATGTCACATCAAGTGAGGGTCTTGTGATGGGTCAGGTGTAGGTCACATCAGGTGAGGGACTTGTGGTGGGTCTTGTAGTGGAGAGGTCACATCAGCTGAGGGTCATTGGAAGATGAAGTGCTGGTGGAGGGCTTGCGTGGGCTGGTTGAGGGTTGGTGCCCTCGCTGGTTGGCTGTGCAGTTGATTTGAGTTTTGAGGGGTTCATAGGCTGGTTATAGGTTGATGTGTCTGTTGATGGAATTGCTTGTGGAGTGCCAGGCTTTGATAAACTCATGTGCAGGGTGGGTGATAACATGGCCGATGATTCTCGTATTGCTCCAATCAAGTTGGTGCCATCACATGATGTCAGCGTGACACCGAAGAGTAGAGGGTAGAGATTAGGGATCTGGGATCGTGGTGGTTGACTGCCAGCTGGTGTTCACAGATTCTGGTTTTTAATTGACTTGATGTCCATAGGCGGATATTGTTGTTTTCCAGAGACAGAAAAGCAGATATCCACTCTTAGGAGGGCTGGCAAAAGTGTGCCAAGTCACCCACCCTTCTTGCCTTGGAGGTGAGCATGGGTTGCGCCAAGAGCGAAGTGAATGTTCATATACCAGAGCAGATCCAAGGGAAAGCAATGGTTTGAAATAAAATCCTTTCTTGGGTTCCCTAACAGGTTGTTATATACCCATTCACGGGTTTCCTATTTCCTACTGGTGTCAGCATCAGAGCCTTACATGCTCAATTCTCAGTGGACTCTAGTGGGGGGGGGAGGCATCTTAATAGCCTCATTATATCTCAATCCTCTTGGCAATCACCTCTCAAGCTTCCTATTAGAAGAAGTGATTTGTGATGCCCAGTCAGCCTGCACATCTCTCTTGCACACCGTTCCCACTAACAGCAGGCAGCTCTTTTCCTGAGCACTCTCTCTACATATTATATTACATCCTCATCCCTCCTCACTTGTGATCTCATGAATTGGTCTCCCTTCTCTACTCTCTATTGCGCGTTTTATTTATTTCCATGCAATGGAATATGGACTATCTCTTTCAAAGACGTCACCATCCATATGAAAAGGAATAGGTAACATCCTGGTTTTTTAGCCAGATAGATAAAGCCATCATCTCAAGAGTAGAAGCCCCATGAGATTTTCAAGGTATTGCTAGCTACCTTTTGACAGATCCTACTCTAACGCTCAGTGGATGCGTGTTGAAATTGGAATTCACAGTTTAAAGGAGCCACCTTATCCCTACTCCAATAGCACACCAAACCATATTTTGCTAAGAGTCATTATGGTTGCACTGCACAAGGTTGAAAGGATTAGCTGGTGACGTGACCATCACCCGAACGTTTCATTACCGGTCTAGGTAACATCTTCAGCAGAGTTTAGGGGATGTCAATGTCAGTGTTCTTCTGCTTACAATAGTCTACATTTCTGTGGTCAGCAGGTCTTGTGATTGGGAGGTCACGTCAGGTGAGGGTCTTGTGATGGGTCAGGTGTGGGTCACGTGAAGGGAGGGTCTTGTGGTGGAGAGGTCATGTCAGGTGAGGGTCTTGTGATGGGTCAAATGTGGGTCACGTGAAGGGAGGGTCTTGTGGTGGAGAGGTCATGTCAGGTGAGGTTCATTGAGAGATGAAGTGCTAATTGGGGGGTTGCGTGGGTGGGTTTGGGGGGGGTTCCTTTCATGTCCCTGGCAGGACCTGGAGTGAAGGACAGGAGCTCAACCCGCCCCACTGCAGCACTCAGATCTCAAACGTGGGATTGCTAACTTCCAACCACACCAGCCACTATGCTCCCTAAGTCATTGCAGCGATGCAAAAACACAATAAATATTTAAATAAAATAACTCACTGGCCATTGATGACTCCATCTGGATTCAGCATGGGGATAATTTTAAAGATGAAGCATTGCCGCAGGAGATTAGCAAGTGGATCGTTGCTGAGGAGGAACTCCAGAGTCCCCTTCATAACCCAGCTGGAATTGCTCTCGCCAGGATGAACCCGTGCCGTGAGTACAACATAAGGACGCTCACCTAAAGAAAGAAAACATACTTTTTATACCCACAGACGAGAATATTTGTAACGCAAGGTTGAACTATGGGGTCCTCGGGGTTCTCTGAGCTTGGATGTTTTCTTGCAGATGTTTTATTCCTCTACTAGGTAACATCATCAGTCCGAGGAGGGAGTGGGGTTTGCTCTTAGTTTATATACAGGTGGCTTGCCCTGTCATACTTTTTATATTTTTTCCCTCTGCTTATCTAGTATAGTGCTAATAGCAGTAGTATCTAGGCCAGGGGTAGGCAACCTTGGCCCCTTCATGACTCATGGACTTCAACTCCCAGTTTGGAAACCTCTCCATTTCTCCTCAGCATGGCTGGCTCAGGAATTCTGGGAGTTGAAGTCCACGAGTCATAAAAGAGCCAAGGTTGCCTACCCCTGGTTTAGTCTGTAAGTTCTGGTTAATCAAACCATGACCCGGTGCTTTGTATGAGCCCAGTCTGGGTCAGTCTTCCCAAGCTGAGCATCTTTGCCATCCCACTGACTGGGGGTCTCTAAACTGGGCAACTTTTAAGACTTGTGAACTGGCTCAGGAATTCTGGGAGTTGAAGTCCACGAGTCATAAAAGAGCCAAGGTTGCCTACCCCTGCACTCGAGCCAACTGGTTAAAAGACTTCTCTGAAATGGTGGCAGTGGCTGTTAGAACCAATCAAAAGCAGCGAGACTTCAGTCAGTCCAATCTCTCACTGGGAGGTTGATGTACATCCCAGCTCTTATTTACTGTCTCATTTTAAACATCATTACACTACCCAGCAAACATAATTCCCGTCTCTCTCTTGTTCAGATAATGAACCGCCACTTCTGATTCCAAATCCCTTTCAAGGTTTGCCAATAATAAAGGGAGGAGAATGAAATATCTTCTTTCTGAAAATGATGTGCATTGACAATCTTGATCCATGGCTGGCAGCCTCTCTGACAATTATATGATTTGATGGGTGACACTTCGCGAGAGATGGCTTTCGTTCTGTGGGGAAACCGCCGCCGATAGCACCAGCCAGCTTTCAAAAACCTGTTTTTTCATGCTTAGCCAGATGAGTTCTTGGAGATGAAAAGCTGCATTTAGTTGCCTTGGATGTAGGCAAGGACAATGCAAGAAATGTACAGGTAGTCCTTGGCGTACGACGGTCCATTGAGTGACCGTTCAAAGTTACAACGGCAAAACTGAATTATGACTGTTTTTCACACTTACAACCATTGCAGCATGCCCAGGGTCACGTGATCAAAATTCAGACCCTTGGCAACTGACTCATATTTATGACGGTTGCAGTGTCCTGGGATCATCTGATCCCCTTCTGACAAGCAAATCATCTGATCCCCTTCTGATCCCCTTCTGACAAGCAAAGCCAATAGGGGCAGCCAGATTCACTTAACAACCGTGTTGCTAACTCAACAAATGCAATGATTTACTTAACAACGGTGGCAAGAAAAGTCGTAAAACGGGGCTAAACCCCTTTAACAAATGTTTCACTTAGCAAACATAGATTTTGGGCTCAACTGTGCTCGTAACTCGAGGACTGCCTGTACTTCTCACTTCTAGGAAAAGAAGCCATTGCTGTTTGCACTTCAGTGGCCCCATGGATCTTTTCCAATAGTGTTGCTCAAGAGCACCAGCTGGTTGACATATGGTCCACCAGCAGGGACACAACCAGCCTTCTGTAGTGGCTGTGTGGTGTAGTAAGATTGAAGCTCTAACTATTAGCAGTAGTATCCATAATAATAGTATAATAATTAGGCCAACACAGTGCTGGGCTGCATTAACAGAGGGATAGAATCAAGATCATGTGAAGTATTAATACCACTTTACAATGCCTTAGTAAGGCCACACTTGGAATCTTGCATCCAGTTTTGGTCACCACAATGTAAAAAAGATGCTGAGACTCTAGAAAGAGTACAGAGAAGAGCAACAAAGATAAATAGGGGGCTGGAGGTTAAAGCATATAAGGAACAGTTGCTGGAATTGGGTATGTCTAGTCTAATGAAGAGAAGGACGAGGGGGGACATGATAGCAGTCTTCCAATATCTCAGGGGTTGCCATAAAGAAGAGGGAGTCAAGTTATTCTCCAAAGCGCCTGAAGGCAGGACAAGAAGCAACGGGTGGAAACTAAGGAAGGAGAGAAGCAACCTAGAACTAAGGAGAAACTTCCTGACAGTTAGAACAATTAACCAGTGGAACAACCTGCCTCCAGAAATGGTGAATGCTCCAACGCTGGAAGTTTTTAAGAAGAGACTGGACAGCCATTTGTCCGAAATGGTATAGGGTTTCCTGCCTGAGCAGGGGGTTGGACTCGATGACCTCCAAGGTCCCTTTCAACTTTATTATTATTATTATTATTATTATTATTATTATTATTATTATTATTATTAGTTGAGATACATATTTCCCCTTCCCGTTCCAATGCCACTGACTGCTGACACACACACCTCTTTTCTCTCCTGCTTTCCTATTTTTTTTTTTTTTTGCTTTGCTTGGTTTTTTTCCTACCATCATGATTTAGGGCCGGTCTCTGTTCTTATTGCTTGAATGAAACTTATAGGGCTACACACTCGTGGCTAGGAATTGCACTCATGAGAGCCCTAATGGACAACAGCTATAAATAGCGCATGGCCGGATAGCACACATTGCTTTTCTCTCGTTCCCGTTCTCTCTAATAACCGATGACTATATAGCTGCTAACCATTCTGATCTATTCTCGCCATTTGATAAAGCATAGCAACAGATTGTGGACTTCATTTCTGATTTAAGAGATGAGCGCTAACAATCCACCAATAATTTTGCCAATAATACTGCAAAATCCAAGCCTGTGTTTTGCACAGGTTAAAGAGTAGAGGAGACAAATGGAACAGATGTGGGTCACAAGTTGTGTTCTGCTGGAATAAATTCAAACAATACCCCATTCCCTAGGGCTAAGTGGAGTCAGCTTCTTCCCATTCCAACAATCCCATGTTGGAAGTCAACTTCTCCCTGCCCCTATACTTTAATTAATTTGCTGGAACTGATATTTTTGGGAAGGGTGCAACACCCCGCTCATCAATCCAGGAAAATGGGGAGTATGTTGCTGTTTTATTTCTCTTTCCATATCCTTAATATTTTCTGGCTTTTGATAGCAGAGGTGATGCACCCTTCTCAATATCATTTCCACCAGCAAATTAAGTAAAGCATCAAGCAGAAATAAACTTCTGGGCTAATATGACCACGATCTAATTTTCGGGTGTCCTATCATTTTTTCCAGAAGTTGTGGCTGACATCTTGAGAGGCAAAGCAATCTATTTCATAGTGTACTTTTAGCAGGCAACTGAACAAGGACAGACTGGTATCTTAATCTACACCAAGATTAAACAGCCCTTAAATAACCAGCTGCACAAAAACTCATAGCAGCTTCATCTTAAAAGAAAAAAACCCCACCAAGCAGGATCTCAAAGAAGGGCCAATCAGGCAATAGTTCACTTGGATTTTCCTTAAAACAGAACAACTGGAAGCTGTCCTGGATAAAGAACCAAAAAGATTCCAGTGACATGGACCAATTAGAAACTGGCTGGACTGGAAAGATCAATCAGAAGCTAGATTACCCATTTACAAATACATCAGCCCAGACAGCCCTTGCTCAGTTACCTACGAACAGCCAAGAGATATCCCATTACAATTTTTGGTCACCACGATGTAAAAAAGATGTTGAGACTCTAGAAAGAGTGCAGAGAAGGGCAACAAAGATGATTAGGGGACTGGAGGCTAAAACATATAAGGAAAGGCTGCTGGAATTGGGTATGTCTAGTATAATGAAGAGAAGGACAAGGGGGGACATGATAGCAGTCTTCCAATATCTCAGGAGCTGCCACAAAGAAGAGGGAGTCAAGCTATTCTCCAAAGCACCTGAAGGCAGGACAAGAAGCAATGGATGGAAACTAATCAAGGAGAGAAGCAACCTAGAACTAAGGAGAAACTTCCTGACAGGGAGAACAATGAACCAGTGGAACAACCTGCCTTTTAGCAAAAGGGGTTCTATTTGATGGTGGCAAAGTGGTTCGAATGCAGTATTGCAGGCTGACTCTGCCCACTGCTAGGAGTTCAATCCTGACCAGCTCAAGGTTGACTCAGCTTTCCAGCCTTATGAGGTTAGTAAAATAGGACCCAGATTGTTGGGGGCAAGATGCTGACTCTGTAAACCTCTTAGAGAGTGCTGTAAAGCATTATGAAGTGGTATATAAGTCCAAGTGCTATTGCTATTTTTCTCAAATTTGAATCAAAAAAAGGAAAGTACCACCAACAATAGCAATCCTTCACCAACTCAAAACCACAAAGGCAAAGTAGGCATCCCTGTGGTCTTACCCCAGTAGTCGTGACTGACTTTAAGGGGGAGGGCGCTCATCTTTGTTTCTTAAGCCAAAGAGCCAGCATGGTCCAAAGACGTTTCCATGGTATGTGGCCGGCATGACATAAAATTGTATGGCAAAACATAGAACACTCTTATCCTCCTACATACTTATAGGTGGTACCTATTCATCTACTTGCATTTTCATGCTTTCGAACTGCTAGGTTGGCTGGAGCGAGGACAAGTGACGGGAGCTCAAACAAGAAAGCAAGCTCAAAAACGCCACCAAGAGAAATTTAAAAGAATTTCTTAAGCATCCTGAAAACCACACAGAAAAAGAGAAGCTGGATATTTCTTGGGAAAGACAGCTTCAGTGCAACAGAGATGATACTAGTGGCCCATGGAGACCTTACCCGCTATGCTGCCTTGCACTTTTGCCCATCAAAGGCATAACAAACTCGGGCAACATCAGAACAGAGTGGAATAAATCTATACGCTGTTATTATACAGCATTCCTCCCATACTGATGCATGTACCAGTACGTTATGTGCAACTTCCACAGATTTGAATAGTGTATGATTACCCTGTTGATCAATACTGCTTAAGTGTGGGGGGCCCCCCTAATTTACAGCTGTCTAAAGTCTTCATCAGCTCCTCCCTTGGCATTT